ATAGGCACCGAGCAAGAAAACTTCAATCACGAGGAAAAGTTTGTCTCCAAACTTACGCTCTTGGGAAAAGTGTGAGCTTTCTATCTTTAAGATCAATCGCCGCGTGTCAAGTTTAGAGCGAATTCAAGGTCATGTTGCTTGAGAAGCGAAGACCTATCGATCATCACTCAATGCAAAGTATGTCTATGTGATAGGAATGGCTCTTTGGCGCAATATTTCGGTGTAGATCTGTGCTGCATGCTGCAAGACAGTTAGCGTTATCAGCACAAGCCGTGGTTGTAGCACGAGTGCAAGTCATGCGGATGATAATAATGCAACATCAAGTAGTCGCGTGAGCATCTAGCCAACGTCCTCTGGCGCTTGGTGCATCAGTCTGATGGACTGTTCGTACTTCCCAGGATAAACTGCACTGTCTCAGATGCACGGCGCTCCTTATTTTCTTTGTTGCATTGAGCCATCAAAATGATCGAGTAATGACTTTTCATTCTTAAGCCTGACAACTTAAGCCGCGGCATAGCTCCACTTATAGCCAAATGATTCTCAGCTCCCATCTTCCTTAGGTACGTGATCAAATAAGAAGAGGCGCAGAACTCTCAGGAAGGCGATAATCGATCGCACTGTTATAATTTCAATTCATTTTTGAGTATCTATTTTCGTGAGGAATTTTAAGGAGAACTCTTTTGAAATGTTCGGATGAATAGAAGATGAAATGGATTGCATTTTGCAAAAAGGAACCAAGAGCATTCCAACGTCGCTAAGATGGTGCAACTGTTTGTACCTTGCAAATATAAACTAATCGTCCTAAACAAGTTTTATCTTTACTCTCTATAAACTATAAATCCAGACGGAAATTACCTTTGTAAATTTAGTTCTTTGCACGACTTCAGCAATTTTACTGCAAGAGTTGCAAGAGTTGTGCTGAGTTGCACAATCCTAGCAACATGGGAATGCTCTTGGTTCCTTTTTGCAAAATGCAATCCAAATCATTGTGATCGTCCCGAGAGATCTCTGTCTCAAAATAGTACCTGGTTAATGCGTCTCGCGCAGTAAGGTCTAGAACCTCTTTTACTCGTGATGTATTTATCGGCCCTTTAAAGTTCGCATCCAGTTATTCCGCAAATCCAACGGGGGACATGCGCTCCCTGAAAACATAGATTTATCCCGCTGTATGATTTGACCAAACCAATGTGCGATTGGTGATTCTGTTGGTAGATATTGTCCATCTGTAGCCTCTACTGGTAGATGTAGTCACCTCCACTCTCGTAGAGAGGGAAAGAAACATATCGACGGTGTAAGTCGGCAATCATTTAACTCGGTTTGCGACGTCGCAGACTTCCTGCCATACTTTATTTTTTAAACGGAAAACTACTCGGCGGCAATTTTTAAAGCTGTCTTGATTTTTCTTCTCTTTGCGAAGAAAATTCTGTAAAAACTTCCAAGGAGTTATGTCAATTTGTTCTCCTTTACAAAAATAACATAGAGGCGGAGATTTTCAGACACCGCGAACGAGTTATGTGATTGCCGACTTACACCGTCGATATCGGGCAGCACGAATGGTTGCTTTTTCGAAAAGCACATTTGAGGAGCTTTCCGGAAAAAGGGCACATATCGAAAAAACGCGTTGTGAGAAAAACGCATTTGAAGTTTTCATTCTTACTTTCTGGCGACTGATGATGACATACATCGGAACTGGAGCACTCATATCAACGTTCATACATCCTAGAATGAATAACGACCATTGGTAAAACTTACACCTCTTTCAGTGTTGTGGGAGGAATTTTTTAAAATTTTCCGTTATGTGCCCTTTTTCCGGAAATGGACCGGTAGTCACAGGTTTTGGCTTTTGAAGATGAATTTTCGAGACTTTAACGAGTTTCTAAACAAAAATAAATAATTCCGATCAATTAATAGATAATAATTTCGATTGCGAACGCGCGGATGGATCATCTTCGATCATTATGAATGAAAAAGACAGTGGAACACGCGAAAAAATCGAAAAATTCAAACTCACAAGAGACCATCATAAATTGAATGGTTAATAATTACACAAATTCACGTGTGACCGGTGCAACGCGGAGACAATCCCTGCAACCCGATGCTATTGCATTGATCAGCAGAATCAGTGCGATGCATGATGCATCTGTAGTGAGGGATCCTTATCAGTACCCATCACCTACCTGCCTGCCTGCCTGCGTGCTATCTCCTCAACGTCGCGTCGCGTCGTCGTTGCGGCGATCGTACCCCGAGGCAAATAGGCGAAATACGCCTCTGACCTCTGACTTAGCCTCACAAAACTTGGTCTCTTAGCTCCAAAAATTGATTAATTAAGCTGAAACTCGGAACATTGGTACATTAGGATGCGAGGAATCTATTTCTGCCGTTTCCGGAAAAAGGGCACATACGCGTATGTGCCCGTTTTCCGGAATGCTCCTCATTTGTATCGCTCCCGTAAGCTTTGATTTGATCGAATAGATGAGCGTTGTGATAAACACATTGATAGGTATCATTCACTGAAGTTTGCCTTCAATATTGCCGCACAAATTGTTCGATGAGCGCTAGTACTGTGAATAAAAAAACATCAATCAAACAAACTGTCTATATTTTTATTGTATTTTCCGAAGATAACACGCTACTGCACCCTCCCATGATGTCAGGACCCTGTGCCCTAGTTGAAGAGCATTGATTTTTGAATTCCCTGGTCTGAACGTTAGACGAGGAGGGAAAAATTAGTTCTTTATTTCCAGTGCTTTTTTCTAGTTTGGACCTTTAGATGGGAGTTGTGGAATTTTCAATCAAGGATGTTATGGGAATGAGGGGAATTCAAAACAATCTCTAGACGTCTCTCGATATTCTCTCGCTATAATGACTTGACCCTATGGTCATCATGTATTTTTAAACTTTTTAACATTGACACCTATAACTTTAAGCGGGGTTGCCAAAGGCAGGGAATATCGGTAAAACCGGCAAATGTCAGGAAATTTCAAAAAGTCAGGGAAAACCTGGAAATGTTAGGAAAAAATTGATAAGCACCTTTATTTGTTTTCTAGAATAGGTTTGACGTTTCGAACAACGAATTTTGTCTGAAAACTATTTCTAACTGTCTTTTTAAAAATCTGGCGTTTGTGCAATTGAGGACCATGCCGAAAGAAGGGTGGATCTCGAGATACGCCCTTTTTGTAATATTCAGCTTTTCCTATTATTTGTTGAATAGTGAGTATATCTTCCTAGTTTGAGAAAAATCTGTCGGTTCGTTACGTCAATAGTTGACCCGTAAAGTACACCAAAGATACGCCCATCTTCCGGCCAAGAAACCTTTCCACCTAAATTACACGTTTAAACCCCTCAAAATAGTAAAACCCAAAAAAGATATTTTGACCTCCCAGATATCACAATAAAGCACCTCTACGCGTTTTTTAGGATCTTTAAGAGGAAAACGAAAAGAAACTTAAAATGTTAAAACTGATTGAACAGGAGCTGAGATAGCATTTTACGCCACATCCGCCATCTTGGATTTTCGAACTTCAAAAATTTCTCTTAGAATACGTCCTGGTACCAAGTTTCACAAAAACCGACGGAACAGGAGCCGAGATAGAATTTCTCGCCTTAATCTCATGTTTGCATAATTGGCAACACAGCAAAACCCATCTTTGGTGGGGGGGGGGGGGTTGCAGGAAAGGATAGGACTTTGACAAACAGAATTTAATACGTGCAATTGATAACCGATTGAAATGTTTGATCACCTTTGAAGGACCCCTAAACTCAACTAGGCACCTACAACAGCGAGTTACATAGGTTTTCAAGCAAAAACAATGCACTTTTCCCATTTACGTGCCACCTAAAAAATTAAATTTTTTCCGCTAATAATCAGCTGATTTGAAAAAAACTTTAGCTCTTCAGAAAGCTGAAGAAATTCTGCAGAAACCGATTTCTTTGACTTGCTTTAAATAAATTTCTTCCCGAGGTATTAAAGGAGTTCAACTTGATTGAGAATTTAGAGTCTTAAGCATCAATAAGTGCGCCCGAAGAAAGCTGAATTTCTCTTCAACCAGTGACCCAATCTTAAATAACTTTAGCTCCTTGAAATGCTGAAGTGTACTTGCAGAAAGTAAGTTCCCCGATTTCCGCCTTTTTTTATTACTTTGTAAGTTATTAAAAAAAAAAAAAATTATCCTTTTTTTATATCATACGTACAAGGATTTTGGAAGAAAGGCGTATCTCTGGCTTACCTTGTCCAATGATTACGCAGGAAAAATTATTTATTTTTTCCAAATTTTTGATGGATTTCAAAACTTTAGGATCTACTTTAAGAGAATTGTTTCTGGTTCAACCAATTGGTCCATTCACTTTTTCGGGGCACCATTTCAAATCTTTAAATAAATGTGCTTTTTAAATGTTACTGAACCTTGTACATACACCCCTTACACCCCTCTTCCGGTATGGTCCTCTATTGTCAGAAAATGTCACCAAAATGTGTCAGGGTATTGTCAGAGGGACTTTAATTATCCAAATTCTATGGCAACCCTGCTTAAAATTGTCCCCATAGGTCCTCAAGATATATTGTTGTTGAATTCACATTAATTTCAGGCCCCCTCAATTTTTGGCCATCGAATATCTCGGTTAGTCGGTGAAGTGTAAGCAAAACAAAGAGAAAAGCCACACCTGTGACCTTCGCAAGCCTGCCCGTACCAATGACTCTGTGAGCAGTGCACATATCTCTATTTCACCGGATGGTGTATCTCCGATCACGTCGAAGAAAAGAAGACAAAAATGAACATCATGTCCGGTGGATTAGGTGTACGCTCTGGTGACAGCTCGTAATCATTGTCATCTGAGATCAGAGACACTCACAGTATCAGCCACGCGGGCTGATCATTCTCACCTAATCATTTTTAGGACTGATCATTTTCACCAAATCATTTTCAAGATATATTTGTTTCGTGGTAACAGCGTTTTACTTCATCTTTCAAGTTTCGTCAAGTATCTCTTCTTTTTTGTTTCAGATCATTGGGACAGACTATGTTTTCTTTATTCAAAAAAACGATCTCAATTTAAAAAACAGAAACCTAGATATCGAAGCGCAGAACGAAAGTTTCACGAATCGAGTGACGGTTCTAGAAAAATGCCGATATTTTGTAAGTATATTTCGTGATCCTCCACGTGAAAAGGGATTTCAGTTCACGAAAGCAAACTTTTCTGTCGAGCAGTATTTTTGAAAACAAGAACTCAATGCTACAAATTTCATAAATCACCATTTAGATGATAATGCTGCATTATTTTTGTTTATCCTAGGGTAGAAGTAAATGCGCTGAAAGTTTGTCTTTGGTACATCCATACCGTGAATTATCCAGACACACTTTTAAGGTGCTGTACCCGTGTCTCGTTTCCACAATAAGCGTATTCAATATGGGTATGAAAGTTCATAATATTCTGGGTAAAATTTTAAAAACAGGTTCTCTATTTCTGGCTCATTTCAGGAGCAAAATATGTGTCATATGATTCGCTGCTTTTATGGATAAACCGCCAGGTTCTTTCCAATTTTTTTCATGTCTCTTCTTTCGAGTCTATTTTATGAAATTTTTGCCAGTGACTGTGCGAGTTCCTCTGGAAAAAAAGTAGCTTTATCCATTTCTACGTGACCCGTAAATTCAACTTATCTCACAAGCTTCCCAGATTGATGAAGTCGAGCAGCACTAAGCCACTCATTGTACACTTGTACAGGCTGGTTTTCATCGTTGAAATTTTTCAATAATTTAAAAATATCATTTGCCGTTGGACACGCAAGCTCAGATCTTCTTTTTTGCCTTAAAGCGCCGCCACAAGACCATGACAAAGCATGATACCAAAAGATGGGATTCAGCTGGTGAGTTAAGACGTGGTTAGGCGAAACGTGCGTGCCAGGGCCGGATTAAGGGGGTGGCCATATGAGCCGCGGCCCATGGCGGCAAAATGTAGGGGGCGGCAAGTTTTGCAATCTTTTTGAATGTAGGTATCAAAAAAAGAGAGAAAAAATTGGATTCATAAAATAAATTACTAACGAGGAAAGGCGACAAAATCTCTCCTTTTCTGAGAGTAAACGTATAGTAATTTCTAATTTTGTCGTCTTTCGGTGATACAAGAGACAACACATTTAGTTAGTAGAGTTAAGAGAGAAACCAAACACGCAATTTGACCTGGAACGGAGCGGTGCGGCGCGGCGTTCGGCATGGAACGCATAGCGCCTACAAGACGGCATGAATACTTCACGCATTGCGTCAAACACACTGCGGTCAACAGCAGTCGGCTTGAAACGCATAGCGCCTACAAGACTGCATGAATACTTCACGCATTGCGCCAAACAGTGTGGTCAGCAGCGGTCGGCATGAAACGCATAGTGCCTACAAGACTGCATGAATACTTCACGCATTGCGCCAACACAGTGCGGTCGGTGCGGCGGTTGAAGTTAACATTTTTAACCACATTTATGTTTGTTCTTTCATAATTTTTTCGTTCGTTCTTTATAAACGGAAGGTCTTGTCCAAACAGAGATGGGTTTACGAAACTGAACTTTTGTTAGTGTTGACAGGGCTTTCACAAAAAATGTGCCCAACACGAGCAAACGCGTCTCATACACTCCTCCCCCACCAGCACGTTCACTTGATGGTTTTTATAGATTGTATTCGACGGATCACACAGGTGAGATTATATTGATATCAATTTGGTTCAATATGTAACCACAGCCTCAAAAGTCAATTTAGAAATCTGAGATAACAGGTCTCATGTGAATTATGTGATCGGATTTTTATTCTCTCGAGTACCAAATGGCAATGAAAAGTGAAATTGTTAGGAATTTTCTCATGTTCAGCTTTTCCAAATTAAATCCTAAATTTTTTGTTTGAGGTTATGTACTATTATTTTGAACCAAACGATATACACCGAACCACTGTCGAATACGATCTATTGATGTTTAAAAACAAATGAGAAGGGGGCAGAAAAACACAGGAGGCCCATGGGCGGCAAGTAGGCAACTGGCGCGTGCCTCAACGTAGAAACTCATATTGTCGAGCACAACAACAACAACAACAATGTTTTGCGTTTATCGTGCCGATACCTGACTGACAGGAAAATCTGTCTCACTCGGACACGGGGGGTCTACCCCTCCTGCCGAAAGGGCTTTTGCGCGTCCTCAGCGCGCCTCCCTGGGATTGGACTTGCCCCAGTTCGGTACCGATACGCTCGGTGGGCGCTAACTCCGGCCAGGCCGGGGGAGGTAGTTAGCTTACGATCTACTCTGCTTGATTTTACCAGTTTGCAGAAGGCTCCCTGGTCCGCATCAGCTGGCGGTCGGTGTCATCCAAACACCTGACACTTTTGGCTGCCTATGCAATTTACATGGATTCCTCGTTTCCGAGGCTCCATGGCAATTTAACGTCTTCCGACGTCGGGACGTTGTTCCTGGCCTTGAGCGAATTGGCCTAGTACCACCGGTAAGGGCGAGAGTCTTTAGTCGACTCTTACCCCTACCCCGAGCTAACCCGCCTTCACTTGGAACCACACAGAGTCCAACCCGTGGAGGTCCCAGGTAAACCTGGTGGGCATGAACCTCCCCCTGTGTACCAGTTGATTCGTGCACTGAAAAAAAAACCCCGGCTGTGGGAGCCGCAATTACGGGCTATATAGACTTACCGTCCGTTCCGGGCTCAAAGACCGAAAATTCCGGCTGCTGGCGGCGTAGCTTCGATTGCTCCGGGTTCAGAGGCCGAAGCTACGGCTCCAGCAGCCGGAATTTTCGGCCTGCGAGCCCGGAACGGACGGTATGCCGGTAATTACGGTAGCCCGAGTTTTTTTTTTTCAGTGTGCTGACCATTCAGCAAGGGCCTCAATAGCCACGGCTCCTGTTGGGCCGGAATTGTCGAGCACAGCGAGAAAACTGGGTCGTAGTCAAAAATAAAGCTATTCCGTTTTCTATGCCAAACACTTCCTAAAACTCTACTGATCATCGGGTCACAGTTTCAAGCCTTATTCTGAATTTTGAATAATGTTATTAGCGCCAGAAGTGAATTGTTTCCAAGACTGGCAACAGCGCGGCAAACTTCAACAGCGGTTTTCTTGAATTCCCCGTTTTTCTTCCTCGAATTTTAAAATTACCGCTAAAGCGTCAATTTTCGAAATTCATGGGTCTTATTTGCACCGATGCAAAGTCAACCTTTCTAAGCTGTGGTTTAGTTATCTAATTTGCTTCTCCCGGACACATTTTGCCTGACCCTGTCAAATATACTGACAAATGTTTTTCTTGAGATATTAATTCAACTTTAAGCGTCCTTTCATGTCGACAAAATTATTTTATTTTTTTGTGTGTGCTAAATCTGTGCGTAGTTAACTGCACGTCAGTTTTTTAAGTTAAAGAAACGTTTTTTTGTGATTGTTAAGTAACAAGGTGTGGACCCAGCACCATTTCTCCACCTTGTTACATACAGTTCGGGCCACTTCTTAGTGTTTTTTTTTCATTCGTTATTGTTAAGCTTAAGTTAAAAAAGAAACTGATTTTAAGTTAAATCCGCAAATTAAGTTATAGGTTAATCCGTTGGGCCACTTCTTAGTGTTTTTTTTCATTCGTTATTGTTAAGCTTAAGTTAAAAAAGAAACTGATTTTAAGTTAAATCCGCAAATTAAGTTATAGGTTAATCCGTTAAGTTAAATGACGGAAAGAAGCGACGCTTTAAATCGAAATAATATTTCGAGAAAAAGTTTTTTTTTCAGTGTATGATGCCTCCCCTATCCCTCTAGAATTTAGCCCTTTTATCTCTTTTACCCTCGCAGTTTGTAGTAGCAACAACTTTTAGTTTTGAGAGCTAGATTTTGGAAATTTGCAGGCCCACCCGGAAAACCCAGAATGGACCTGCTTCGAGCAATCGGCCACTTTAGACGTGAAGTCGTTTTTCGGCTTCGAGAACACCATAGAAAAGCTGGCAATGAAGCAGTACGTCCAGAATGTTTCAAAAGGCAAAGAAATCATTGAACACTTCATCAACGTGCTCAAGGAGGAAGGGATAACCCACGTTCCACCCTGGATTCCACCCGAGAACTATGTTGAGCCACTACCCTCAAACATGTGAGTTCCAATTTTCTTTCACTAACTCTGTGGACCTCCGAACACTGTGCGAACTTAAGCATTATGATGTCTATTTCCTCAAGCATTATGATGTCTGCTTTCTCATCAAAATTTTACGTAAAACACGATTCGTGCAACGTGCAACGGAAATTACTGCAAGTAACTCCTAACCAGTATATTATCGTTTTTCGATACAAAAATGCTAACTTCCCGTTCCTAAAAAAACATGACGATCTTCTTACTTGATTGACCCAAACCGCACAGTAAACGCCACCAGAACAGATTCTACGGTATACTGCCGTGCCAAGGAAGAACGCCGTATGAGCCTTCAGACGTTGCCAAGTTTTCTCCAATAAAAACCAAATTTACTGGGAAAATTGCGGATGTTACTTTCTAAAATTTTCAGATAATTTTGTACGCAATTTAATCCAAAATATCTGAATTTTTCAAGGAAAAATATACAAGAATGTTTTCAAAAATACATGTTTTATCAAGGAAAATTTGGCAACTCTAGAATGTTCATACGGCGTTCTTCCTTAGCACGGCAGTATAGTAACCTCAATCTCGGCGCTTTGGCTCAGCTGTTGCCTGTCGCTTACATTTTAAACAACACAAGACGGGGGAGGAACACTACTCGATTAAGGTAGAAGTGCTCGATTTGATTTACGAAGACTTTGGTTTTTCTCGACCGGGAACTTAAAATTTTTCATATCCAATGCTACATGAAAACATCAATATCTTGGTGAAAAGTTGATTTTAGTAATTTTTGTCGCGCGAACTGTAATCAACGTTAACTTTTGAAGAGGAATTATGTATCAGAATGCTCAAAATTCGTGCCCCGTCTAATAGTCGAGTGATGATCGAGCTTGCAAATTTGATAACAAATTATCATTTGCAATACTGTAATTGAGAAAATCATCTCTGTTGGAGGAGTCTGCTGGACACAGCAGTGGAGTCACGAATGGAGCAATGATTTCCCAGTAAGTCCCTCGAAACACAGCTCATTCCTGCAAGGTCTTTTAATCACACAAGTATGTAGATAAATATACAGGGCGTCCCAGGCCTTTTTCTCGATTGTTTTAGGTCGTACGAAGTCAGGAACCGAAGGGTTGAATATGGAATCGACCTCAAAGCATCCTAATTGCATCGCCCCGAACCCATCCTCTCAGCCTATATTGAGGGGTAATAGGGGGGGGGGGGGGTGTTACGATCCTAAAGGTCGGGGTTTCCGACCGAATTACGAATCAATCCCATCAGAATTGAAAAGCACGGAGAGCTTTATTTCAAGTTGACCCCTAAAAATCCAAACTATCGGCCCACCTTAGGCCCAAAAATGACTCTGTAAAGCCTCCGTCGTATTCTCTTTGGTCTCTAAATTACCGTAGATTCTCCAAAAAAAGATGGTATCCAAGAAAATAGATCCCGAGGAATCCGAATTTTATGATCTCAAAGCCCCCCTAGCTCCCCTTGGCGGAGAGGGGTAAACAAGGGGCCCAATTTTGGAAATCTGAGCTCCTTTCCGAATCGCAAAATAATTGCATCCAAATTTAAGAATAGAACAAAAAAGTAAAGTGATCCCGAAGAGTTCAAATTGACTTACCCAACGCTCCAAAGTAACTCCGTAAAGAGGGGGGGGGGGAGCGGTACCCCTTCCAGAAATTGCTCCTTAGTCTCAAAATTGACGTTGATTCTCCGTAAAAAAGTGGTATCCCAGGCACCAAGAAACCCGAAATGAACGGTCTCTGAGCTCCTCTGATCTTCTTAAGTGTCAATAATCTTGGATACCACCTTTTTCCGGAGAATTTACGTCAATTTTAAGCAGTGGCGTGGCGTGACTATATCCGGTAGGCGTTCGGTAGGAGTGTTAACTTTAGGGGGGGGGGTTAGAAACGTTCCCTCCCCTTCCTTAAAGGGGGGTTCGGGGGGCCTCCCCCGGAAACTTTTTAAAAAATGAAGCCGCAAGAACACGAGTTTAACCCTTTCTGGTGAAAATTGTGCCGGTAAATTGTCATTGAAATTTTGTTCTTTTCACCGATCGTTTTCCTGTAATTTATTTTGTTAAATGATAACGTATTTTCGCAACACGCACCTGCAGAGAGAGGTGGGAGAGGGAAGCTGGGAAATGCGGCCCGCATGCGCAGGGGGGGAAGCGGAGGGCGAATCGCGGCATAGAGGAAATTCGGCGGTTCGCAAACCCCTGCGGACCACTGCTATAGGAAACAGCTGGACTGATGAGCGGCTTTCCTCTCTCGTTCTTTTCCCCTCTCTTTTCTCTCTGATGTGTTCCCTCCGCGAGCGCAGTCCGCACTCGTCTCCGAACCCAATGCTCACGCTCCGCTCTGCGCCGCGCGCCGGTGCCTCCTCTCTCGTGTACCCTTTGCTCCTTCATCGTTGCACCCAGGTTCTCTCTCCTCACCGTACGCAGATCATCCAGGTTCGGTAGCCGGTACGGACCACGCGTCACAGGATTTTCTCTCTCCGCCGCGCCACATGCCGCTGTCGGAAACCAAGCGCCCGACACTTATTTGCGATCTACTATTCTGTATTCTGTATTGCTTCCCACATTCTAAGCCATAATTTATTAATTGTTTCAAAAATTTTAGGGTGTTCGGCGAACACTGCGAACCTATGGACGCCACGCCACTGATTTTAAGATCAAAGAGAAATTATGGAGGAGGTACCGTCTCCCTCTTCACAGGGTCATTTTTGGGACCAAGGAGGGCCGATTTTGGATTTATAGGAGTCAATCCACAGTGAAATTTTATGTACTTTCCAATTCTAATAGAATTGATTCGAAATTAGGTCGGGTACTCCGACTTTCAGGATCGTGATCCCCCCCCCTTACCCCCCAGGGGAGCTGGGGGTGGGGCTCGGGACCATGAAATTTGTATGCGTTGGAGTTGATTTCCTTTTCAACCCCGCGGTCCTTGACTTTGTACGACCTAAAAAAACTGAAAAAAAAAAAAGTCTGGTACGGTTGGTTTGGGACACCCTGTATAGCTGCTACATATAAAATTCCTACAAAAATTTCAATTTTTCCTAAGCTTTCATTTTTGCTCTCCCCGTCCCGTTCCTCTACTCTGCTTTACCATTCAAATTTTGATTACCTACTTTCAAAATAATTAAAAATTTAATGAATTTAATATGGCATTTTGCTGACTTGTTCATTTTCCAGCGGCGATGAGTTAGGAGGTGTGAATGGGAAACTAGCTGAAGTGACAATCACTACATCAGCAGGGAATCAGTTGATCAGACAAGGTAGTTCCTCAAGCAACACGCTACCGAATACATATCATTTGGAGGCTGACTACATCCAACGATATCTCGGAGAATTAACCCCAATTCAAGAATCTCAGTTAGTTCAGTTGAAGAATAACTTCGCTCATTTACAAAAAGGGAAAGTAAGTATCCTAGTTAAAGCAATCAAAATTGACCCAGCTGAAAAGTGTATCTTGCAATCAGAGTCAGATTTACCCAATTGCAGCTTGTAGGTCATTAATATTGTGGAACTCCCAGTCCTCTTAATGATGATGGCAAAAATGATTTTGTAGAGATGGTTTGAGATACAATTTTTTGGTAGGGGAGATTTTTCTTAGAAGAGATAACTGTGGTTCCTCCTCTTAGAAATGTTCAAATTTTGAAAGTTAGAACACAAAATTTCTCCTATCTGCGGCCTATCCGGAAAGTAAAAGAAAACCTTTTAGTTAAAAGTTTCAATTATTCCTTACGTTTCAGATACCTAATGACCCAACATTACTCAGGTTTTTACGAGCACGGGACTTTAATGTCGAGAAAGCACGAGAGCTTTTATCTCAGTCATTAACTTGGCGCAAAAGGCACAATGTCGACCAGATTCTCTCATCCTATGAAACCCCTGATGTGATCAAAGATTACTTTCCTGGCGGATGGCATCATCATGACAAAGGTAAAACATCAGATTTATTTAACTCGAAATATATCTGGAAAAGTTTTCAATAGGTTTACACCCAGTACCAGTACCAGTTAATATATGTAAATCTGTACATCAAGGTTAGGTTTTAAATTGAATTGTTTGCTACCATTAATTGAACGCATTCGTTCTGTGGGTTTGCTCTAGAGTTTAAATATTCCTGTCGTCACTAGCATCACAGTTTAGTAGCAGTGCAATGTTTAAGATTAGGAAGTGGTAGTCCTCAGGAAAATTGCTTGAAGTTTGGTGACCTTTTTCTCTAATTGTTATTCAGTTGACTGAAAACTCTTTTTAAAGCGAATTAGTACTTTACTGAACCTATTGTTTTTTGTTTGAATGTTAGGATAAAAAAATTTGGAACCCATGTTCTCATCTTATTCTCTGACATCACAGTGCACCAAAACCCATGAAGTAACAATTTTGTCCCTAACGATGTAATTTTTTTCTCTTGATAAAAATTTCACAAAGGGCAAAATATGTTTTTCCAGAAAGTGTCTCTAATGTTGGATGACATGTTGCTCAGTTCATTCATGTATTGAACAATATTTTGCTCTTATGATTTGCTGCCAATATTGTATCTGAAGAATTTGATTCAGATGCGCTGATTGTGAGTAGAAGTGAATTAGGTTACTCTAACAGAAACTGGTCTGAAAAAATGTCCTGAGGAGGCTCAAGCAAAAATTTTGACTTACTGCAATGTTTCTTCATGAGATTACTATTTTACTTTTCAGATGATCAGCCAATTTATCTTTTGAAACTGGGACAAATGGATGTCAAAGGACTGCTTAAAACTATTGGTGAAGACAGTCTACTAAAATTGGTAATTTTCAATTAAATCTACTTTTCCACTTTCTTCTTTTTTCAAGTAAAAAAAAGAAAGAAAAAAAAACAAGAAAAGAAAGCAACTGAGCAATGATTAAATATTGAAAGACTGACTTTTGCATTATGCAGGGAGGCCAGAGATTAGTTGATGCCATTTGCATTACACGAAAAAGGAGGAAGGATCGTGTTTTTTCATCTTTTGGTCCAACTTAAAGAGAAGGAATGAACCTTGTTAGAAAGGCTAAATAGCTCTGTATACTTTGCATTGAGTTCACTGAAAAATCTTTTTTTTATCCCTTAAGGAGCTCCAATTATTATTAGTCAATATGTGCATCATTTTACATTGTTTACCTTTCATTCTAACAAAAAACAATTTCCACCTCTTGTCATTCCTAGTCATTGAATGTGATTTGAAGATCAATGTTAAAAAAAAAAAAAAAAAAAAAAAAAAAAAAAAAAAAAAAAAAAAAAAAAAAACTGCAGCATTTCACTCATTTCTTTGGAAGGGGTAGTGACCCTTTTGAAGCTGATATAAAATTTCATTCAAAGACATACTAATTTTTAAATTCATTTTCAAATTTTATAATTTTCTCTTCCATCTTTAGAACCTGCAATGTATCAGAAAGTCATATTCTTGAAGGAAAACACAGGTTATAGTAAAAACCATACAGATATGGATCATATTATAAAATTATGTAAGTGTCTGGCTGATGATTCTTATAATTTTTTACGTCCGGTCGCTTCTTTCTATAAACAAAAATGTGTAATTTTATTTTCAATGCAGAAAAGTTTGGTTGCTCAGTCTTTGTGATACAAGTTATTTGATATATCTATTTTTTCAGACAATGCATGTGTGTGAGGAAGGATTAAAACTTACGGAAAAAGTAACGAAAGACTGCGGTAAGCCGATTTCAACATGGTGTCTGTTGGTGGACCTAGAGGGACTCAATATGCGCCATCTCTGGAGGCCAGGAATTAAGGTATTCTTTCAATTATTATCACAAAACACAAGGTGTATCTGTTAATTATCCCTTTGGAAATGTTGAAAAGAGCACACTTTGTTATGTATTGGATAATAATTTTTAATTATTTTTAATTATTTCTCTGTTCTCCAGGCATTGCTTAGGATAATTGAAATTGTCGAGGCAAATTACCCTGAGACTCTTGGCAGAGTTTTAATCATTCGAGCTCCTCGTGTGTTCCCTATTTTATGGACTTTAATCAACAAATTCATAGGTAAATGTGCAAATTTCTTAGTTATCGTTTGTATACTCAGGTAGTTCAGAAGTTCATAGTTTAAGGAATATATCAATTATTTTCCTCCTTTACTTCATGTGTCTTAATAGAATCATATTTAATGCAGAATTGAAAAGAAGTTAATAAACAAAATACAGATTTTAAAAAAAATATTAATACTGTAAGAATATTCTTCGCTCGCAGATGCTGCTATTATGAAGTTTTGCTTTTCAAAAATGAGAGATATGTAATAGATTATTTAGCAATTTTGACAAATGTAGCATTTCTATCACAGAACTGGTATTCCAGCCTAAGTGGAGCATGAGATTGCTCTCAAAATGGAGAGCAAATGTACAGCATATTACAGTAGTTTTACTGTAAAGTAATCTTACTGAGTACAAAATTCTCAATGGTCTGTTACTTTTATCATTTTTCAGATGAAAAGACACGCTCCAAATTTCTGTTCTATGGAGGAAATGACTATCAAGCTGCTGGAGGACTGGTAGATTATATTGACGAGGAATTCATCCCTGACTTCTTAGGAGGTCCTTGCAAGGTAAATTCCTGCAAAATTCTCAATTTCGGTAAAAGTAGCCGAATATTTTTCAGATTACAATGGGTAAAATGCAAGTTTTATCACTCAAACTCCTGCTACAGAAGCGAGGAAGGAAAATTGCAGAATTGATTATATGGATAACCTGACCACCTCTTTATGATTGCAGACGAAAATTCCAGATGGAGGAATCATTCCAAAACATCTTTACCAGGCTGACATTGGACATGAAGGAGCTTGCATGACAGAGGACAGTATCTATTCATCAGCGGGACTTAGTAGAAACCAAGTAAGAATATGTTAATTTTCTCTTTTTGTTTCATGATTAGATCTGAAAATTTTTAACACCCTGTAGGAGGGGTTTGGAGGACACGGCGCAAAAGTGCAGTTTTTGCTATTTCGAGAAATAAGTGTTTGAAGTTTCAAAATTACATGGATCCTTCGGTGGAAAGAAAGTTCATACTGACTTATCAATACTTGAACATCGGAATTTGGGAGCGAATATTTCTCAAAATATGCCCTGAGACTAATTTTACTTGAAACCATTATTATCTCAATTTTTTTCAAAACTGCACTCATACAGCACGCCTTGTCCTTTAAGCCTCTTATAGCATTCTTATATCTTTTCTTTTCATTTCTTATTCATCTTTATATGTCACCCTGTTTTCGATGCTTGGTTCATAGAAATATATTAGGTGAATAATTTGTAAACATGCGAGTCATAAGATTGTGCGTGTCGCTTCACACTATTACAGTTCATCTTCAAGAGCCTTCCTTTGTAAGAGTCTTGCAAAACATGCTCTGCAGAACTTTGTACTGTCAAAAATGACTTGATTTATGTTGCACCTTTTGAGGTGGTGCCTATTTCTATTCTTTCTATTCATCTATTTCTTTTGAGAAGTCTCTGTGTAAAGACGATTATCACTGATTCAATCAATATGAAGAATTTCTCATATCTGCACATTTGACAAGAATTCATTCCATGCTAACACAGAAGACACAATGGGTTTGACAATTTGCTCTTATTTGCACAATGAACGATGAATCTACCACTGAATTATGTGTTTTTATCGGTTGCAGTCTCATGAAGTGTTTGTGCTGATAGAGGCTCCTGGCAGTGTGATCACATGGGATTTTGACATCATTCGTCATGAGGTCGCTTTCAGTGTTTTATACTTGAAGCGGGTGTTACCATCGCTTGCAGAGGATGAAACTGAATCAAGTAAATCCTTTCATCTTCATCTTTATGGTTTTTTATTTCTTTTTTAAGCTTTACAGTAGCTTCTTAAATATCTTATAAGGTCAAACTAGCTTATCTCACGTCTTTAAACTATTTTTTTCACGGTTATGAACAGTGAACAGTGATTCTGTAAAGGTCTAATTACAGTAAAAAGCTCATAAGCCCTTACTTAAGAAAATTTCTAGATGTGTTTTGGAGCCAGAAATAGGCAAGATAGAATCATATGAAGCTGCTGGGTAGGTATGAAATTTTAAAATCTTACTTTTAGAATTTTTAACCAATTCCTATGAATGAGAACCTGTGTTTGAAGCAAGATTATCAGAGCATTTCTCCGAAATATGCTTCAATGAAAGGCGCACACGCTGGAGTGTATATTGTTAATTGTAAATTTTTATCAGCAAATTCTTGGCAAGATATTTAGTGTACCTAAGCAAATAAAATCTGAAATTGGCACTTTAAAATTGGCTATTGCTTTCCTTTTTTTCTACTCTTTTATGTCTAAAATATGTACTTTTGAATCTTATAATGATAAGAATTATATCTATGTTTTACAGCAGGGACAGAACAGAAATTGGTGTTCGACAAATCGTGGAAAGAAGGCACGGATTATGTTGTGGTTGAGCCAAGCACAGTCTGTCATGAAGGCGAAAGCATTCAGGGTTCTCATGTAACAGCCTTTAGTGGAATGTACATTCTCAGTTGGCGCCACCATGCCAGCATGGTCATTGACAATATTCTTGATACAATCACAAATCCTAAAGCAGAAATTATGTACTACTATGAAGTGCTTCATTCAGCAGATTACAAGTAAGACCACATTTCATAACCATAATATTAATTTAAATTGAAAGGGGCCGCACTCACTAAAATTTCTGTCAATTTTCCACCAAATCTGGACAGTAATAGACAAATGCTGTAGATAAGGTGTAAGAATGTGTGCAGTCAACGGAGATAGAATCAAGAGAAGCTCATTGAAGAAGCTGACTGCTTTTATTATTGTAGGTCATGCCATGCCGTAACTTTTACCAGATCAGATAGTCTGGTCCAATAGAGTGGTATGGATGCTAAGGAATGCCCCATCTCCTCAGGCACAACAGAGCTACTATTGATGTGTCAAATTTCCTCCAGAATATATTTTCTTGAAGAGAAAGGCTTCAAAATTGAATGCTTGAAAACCCAAACATTTTATATTCAAACAAATTAAATCTTTGGTAGGTGTGTTCCAGCAGAATTGTTCAGTTGTATGTTCTAATAAGATTATCAAAGGAGATGTTAAAATAGCGTTAGAAAGAAGATAGTCTCAGTAGTAAGAGGATGCTGAAATTTTAGAACTGTCAACTTCAAACTTCCGCAGTTCTAAATTTGTTTGAAAATTTTTGGTGTTTTTCTGTGCCAAAATTCTCATGAAACACTCCTTTATGCAGTGGCACCAATATCTCAATTGGAGTCTTTTGGTATAAAAGGCCCCTCTTCTGCTGACAGTCATTTAATCGGTGCTTTAATTTCTTGCAAGATGTTTTAGCAGGCTGATATTCACAGCTTACTTAGTGTGCTCTGTAAGTAATTTTACCTTGTTTGATTTTATTTTCAGAGGCTCCATGTCAAGTTTACAATCAGGGCATAGTGGATTCTCTGCTCTTAGTCAGCGCTCAATAGCAAGCGTATGTCCGTCAAGATGACTAAAGGATGAAACAGCTACGGAGATTGAAGGAAATGATAATGATAAGGCATCATGGAAACCGCCTGATTCTGTTCTTTCTGCCACATCATAAATTGTACCAATATTATTACCATGTAATGAACTTTCTTTAATAGGTTTCCTTTTCTTTACTCAACTTTGTAAAAGTGAAGCATTCATTTTTTTAAAAATGATAAAAAATCGATACAAATTCGTAATCTTCAAATTTTTAGTGTGATATTTTAGTTCCTTTTGTGCTTGGTCTTAAGTTCAAGCTGTTTATCAGATCGAATTTGATAATTTTTAAATTAAGGAGCGTCGTGTTTAATCAAAATTATTCTTTCATTAGTTTTATCATTGTGTCAGTCAATTTTTCTCTTTTAGATTTATTTGTTATTTTATTGAATCCATTAGTTTTTTGCACCAAAGGAAGCTCTCCTTTTTGTTGAATTAAGAATGATATGCCTCGTAGCTAAATCAGACATAGATGTGTTGGTAAAAACCAAACTATTTAGCTCCCATCAAAATGGTCATTGTACAATCTCATTATAAATATTAAACATGAAAATGATGTTTTATGAATGGGCAAGTTGATGCAGTATGCTGTTCTGTGAAACACAATTTTAAAATCAAATTAAATTTTTCTTTTTGACATCTCTCTCATTTGACTGAATTGATTCAATTCAAAATAACAACTTGCAGCTCAAAATTGCAGAACACCAGGGACTTTTTGATTTAGAAAATAATGACTGAACGGTATTAATGCATATCAAATGATAGGTGGATGACCTCATTTGCGTATTGTCATTTAAGTAATGTTAATTGGACTACATTTTGCAATTAGGAAGTACAATTCCTGGTTCCTCCAAAAAAACAAACATTTGCATGAGGAATCTATGGTAGGTGCATAAGAAGTTGTTTCTAAACTGAGCCAGAAATTGTAGTTCCCAATTGCTAAATGAATTGGGATGTGTTCGAACCGCTAATGTCCATTTTTTTAGTCTTAAGTTTTTTTAAGTTCATAATACTTTTCGGAGTTGGTTGCAACCACGAAAGTGGCGTTAAAACTTTTCTTCGGGTTTCTTTACTCCCAAAACGAGTTCTTTCATCACTTTTATGGTTGCATCAACTCTTCAAAAATATTATGAACTCAAAAATCTTGAGACTGGAAAAATGGACAGTGGCAGCTTTCGCAAGTCCCGATTCAAATGTTGTCCAATTTTAATCACTTTTATCAGGTTTCAGCGTTGATTTTTGAACTAATGGTGAGGCAAACTTTTTTCGTTGAGAAACATTTTGAGGATAAATCACAAAGGTTGAGGCTTTCTCTCACACCTCGCTTGGTAATTCTGTACACTATTGTAAGCACCTGATTAAATTATGTTTTAAATTTTGATAATTAATACTACCGTGATAGCGAAGAGAGCAGTAACTGCATGCTGGGATGAACCTTGAGACACATAAAAGCATCTGCTAACCATGACTCATACAGAAATGCACTTCTACTGCATGCTAGGATAAACCTCAAGACAAGACACATAAAAGCATGTGCTAACCATGAATTATACAGAAATGCACTTACTGCTCTCTCCACTATCACAGCAGAATAGTTGAACATATATAATCAGAACCATCCTAATTAAATCAAATGTCTTCTCATTATTCCAATGACTTTTTTCCCACAGAAAATAAGGCAACATTCTAACTCGAAATTTTGTGATTTATATTCTCTACGACCTTTCCAAAAATTCTTATTAAGTTTTAAAAGGTGTATTCTTGTTTGGCTTTCTGCTAAAAGGAAAAAAATCATGAGAAGAATTATATAGGCGATATGAAATGCTACTCCAAATTGTTGAACAAACGCCAGAGCCACGTTTCCAGAGCCTTTTTAACTTTTAAATAAACAACTAAACGAGATATTGATGTTTGTATCAAATGGAGGATAAATGACATCATTAAAAAATGCTGATTCTGGTTCAATTCTCTTAATTATTCTACTGGTTTTTTAGCATAATGAGTATGTACACCAAGTACTCCTCTTCAAAACCCCTAATTTGGCATTTCAGTAAAATAAATTCTCCTGTTTCTTACTTTTGCTACCACAGTTAACCACCAGCTGCACAAAAACAGCATTGTGTTTTTGGGGTAGGTACCTAGTCATTAGTGAGTAGCTTAAGTTATTGTTAAGGTCAAGTTGGAAAGAATATCGAGCTTTTAACTAAGACAGATCGTTTCAGACACTCAACTTACTAACTTCAATAACCTATCATTATCACTACCTAAATTTATCACCATCCTAATTTTCAGAATTACTAAAGTCTTTCCATCATCAAATTTGTTACCTGAATCAGGAGCTCAAAACTTCCTAGGATGCTTTTGCATTGCTTAGACCAAGGCTGCATATCAAGACATTCTTTGATTATTAAAATTATCACGCATTGGTTCAAAATTAAAGGGAATTGAGGAAAATTCGTTGATGCCAAAAATAGGTATTGATGGTTTAAGTTACATTATTTGATGAAATGTTTTTGCCAAATCTGTCCCTCTAGTGTCTGCTTGTCAAATTATCTTTATATACTCTCTTCCTAAAATCTTTTGCATGAACGTATGCCAAATAATTTATATCTAAGAGGAAGAACATTGTAAATAACCATTCGTATAGTAAATTTTGTTAGTGGGTTTATTCTATGATTTTTGATGCCAAAAGATCTTCTATAGTTAAAATATCTAGAAAAAAGTGTATGAACTCGGAGTTTTGATTCTGCCGACCATTTTCCAAGGGTTTTGTTGCCTAGGCATGGCTTAGCAACATGATTTTTCTTGAAGTATGTTATCATCAAACTTCTGAAGACTTTCTGTGGTCAAGTTTGAGACTGCTTCATTTTCCTCTTCTGCTCCTCATCCCATATTTGAGTATAATAAACTTCCTGAGTTGTGAAGTTTTCAAAGATATAATTGATGAAGATGTTAAACTCTAACTAGAAGCTTGCTCAATTTTCTCGATCTGTTATAGTTTTTGAGCAAGTTTAAAATTTTAGGCTCCTATACTTTTACATCACATGATATAGGCAGAATACTTCAACAATTCTCTGGAGTTCTTAAAAAGTTTACTTTGACATCGCTCAAATTTTACATTCATTTCTTTACAGCACTGGAGTGCCCTCTGCAAGTATTATCCTAATAATATTTTGTTTTACATTTTATGAACTCATTGAATTTGTTTCCTGAATTGCTGATATGTTGATCTCAAATTTTTATACCGATTTTAATCTTAGCAAATTTTTAATTGTACTTTTTTCTCTTTATTAATTCAAAACTAATTTTATTCCTCCTTTGTGATCGTTGCATGAATTGCAAGTCCATTTGATTTTCCATCCTCTGGATTAAATATTTTTCCTCGTTTTGTCCAATCAGCATGCTCCATCTCTGCATTTTCATTGTGCCTCAACATTTTACCTGTTAAATTCAAAAGAATAGATGCTTAGAGGTTCTTAGACAATAGGTTTCTTGTTATCCAACTAGATTATAAAAAGAAGTACTTACTTTGAAATTCAGAAAAATGACGTTTTTGATGAGATCACTTAATTATTGTTGTATAATGCGTTTAGTATACGTAGTGAGTGTATGGGCACTGAACTGAAACAGCGATTGCATTATAAACAAAATGGGCCTAATTATGGTTGCCTCTAACCCGCTAATGTCCAATTGACAATCAATGAAACTCGCTCCATTAACAGAAGTGAAGAGTCCTTTGTGCAAGCAACTGGTATCTTCCTTTTTTACTTCAATCGGAGGCAAGACCTTTTTCGAGATGCAGATACTTAGAGACATTCATGTAAGATAAGTCTATTTAAACAGGATTTATATTACAGACAGTCTCCTATTGCATGGGTGGATCCAAATATGTCTTGCTATTTCCACACATTTTTCTAACTACAAGGTTTGTGTACCTATCAACAAAATGTAATATAAAGTCAGTCGCATAGCAGATTGATGCTATTTTGTTAAAAATTCTCAGCCTTGAGGGGATTAAAAGAGCAGCACAAATCAAGTTAGTCTAGGTTTACGTCAGCTCTCTATTCTTTCAGTGCCCTCAGTTATGCATACATATTTTATGCATATCAGCTGAATCTTCCACCTATGGATTTTAAAGTTCTCTTAAAATTGAAGGAATGAGTGTCCTTCACTTTAGAAATTTGATGAATGTAATGATGAATGATAATGATTGTTTTGGTTTTAAAAATGTTAGCAAAAATTGAACTTATTAATAGTTATCATTGGTTCTCTGTTTTCTTTTATTGTTTCATCCTTTTTTTTGTTATCATGGAATCAAAATATTGAAGGCAATGAGAAAAAAAGAATTTAATGTTATAAATCAATAATTTAATTTTCTCTTTAAATACCTCAAAGCACTTTTTATTATTCATTTACATAATGTAATGATTAGGCCAATGCTGTCACTGCCTGATTAGATCATGAGCTGACTCAAAAAAAATCCCTCCAGCCTGAAGTGAGCGTTTGCCCAAAGTCAATTAGGATGTACTTAGATGATCGACTCTAGCAAATTACATATGTAACTTTTCTAATCTCAAAAATTTTCCATCACGGTTGCATAGCAGAAAACGCTTTAAGTGTATTACTACTGTCGATTCTATGATTGTTAATGATTATAATGATTTATTTCACTGGATGTTATGCGTGATTATCATGTAATTAGGATATTGTCAAATTATTGGATGTATATAGATACTCGTTCTTTTTTTCTTTTTTAGCAATAAACGTGATTATACTGATTTTTTGGCCTTTAATTTTTTCAACTTCTTCATGGTTGAAAACAAAAAGACACAATCAGCACAATCTGCACTCTCCCAATCTCCACTTCTATAAGTACTGCTCTCAATTTCCCCTAAAATTTTTACAAATAGCAAAAATGAGGTGATCTGCGCCAAAATAAAAAGTTTTCAGTGATTAATGTCTAGCCTATAAATACAGATAGACAGTGAAACTTTCAAACTTTGTATGTACCTTGATTGTGGGGTTTTGAAATCTTGAATCTTAAGTTACTTTTTTAAAGGAAAACAAATAAACATCATTCCTTGAGGTTTTCCTAGAATTTTCTTAGCATGGAGACGTGAAATCATATAAGTTTTTAAGAGTTTATGTTGGGTAACTTTCCATTTATAAAGTAAACTGTAACATGAGGTCTGCAGCTTCACAAACCTAGGTACATGGTCTGGGAGCCTCACTGTCCATGAGTAGGTGAACGAATTTTAGCTTAAAATAAAGCTTACTGACTGGTGCCTTACTCTTCAGGCATGGTGCAACAAAGTCACAAATTAACGGTTTTTCTTATTCCGGCTTATAATCACGTATCTGCTGTCAATTTTTTTAAGGCATTCTTTTAAATACGCAATGTAGAGTTAAACTTCCAATATAATGTTGTTAGTTGTCAGATTGACTTAAATACAAGTCTTCAAAGTTTTGGATGGTTTTTCCAAAATCCATGTCATTATTTTTCTCTTAAAATAGGTGTATTTCATGAGAGATTATAGGAATAATACTTTCCTATGTGAATAATAATTTCTTAATTATTTTTTTTTTTTTTTTTTTTTTTTCAAACAATTATGATCCAGGTACCTAGAGAATAGAGAGACGTTTCTAAATGACTCAGATTTTGGACAGTAAATAAAACATGTGAAGAGAAAAAAGAAATGAAAAAAAAAGGGGGGGGGGGCCAAGAGAAGGTATGGTTTGTGGCCTGTAAAAATAAACACTTCCAAAAGTAACATTTAAACAAACATTTTAATCCCTTGGGAAAAGGAGAGGTGATTTAAACAAAACAAAAATTAAAAGCTGACAGATATGTACAAGACTAAACAGGATTAAATCTTCTAAATAAATACACGTGAGGCTCATTTATGGCCAGAGAAAAATTTTGAGAGGAAGTCTTGAGGTTGTGGATTATGAGTCTCCTTAAAGCGCATCATCATGTGACTTTTTTGAGACCAGAACTTGCTAAATTCTTGCAATTCCTGTTGACCCTGTAAAACAGAAAATTGCATCAGTGATGAAGGAAAAAAACAGAGAGCAAGGACTTTGAAATGGCCACAGAATCAATAATTTGGGTTTAGGGAATTGATCTCAGAGACCCAGATTCAATTTCACATACTTAGGATGACACAGATAGCTCTACTTGAACAAATTGACTATATCTTATGACAATCATTTCTCTTGGAGAAGCATTGGTGATGCCATTTGTTGCTATATCACATATCTGTGGCTTAAGAAAATAAAAAGTATACTTACCTCTGATTGCAAGGTTGCGAATTTCCGCTCGTGTTAAATTCTTTTAAAAGAAATTAACCCAACAGTTGCGTTAAAATTTGTCTGAGAACTCCCTTTAATTATTTAAAAGAAATATTCATAAAAATTTAAAAGAGACATTCCAGTTAGTTTCTTCTAAAAAAAACAAGACATGTTAGACATTTTTTTATCATACCTATTTGAATACTAATTGATTGAAATGGAAAACTGCAATCAATCACTAACATAACTGTCCAAAAGGATGTTATGGCATTCAGGTTGCAAGACACTTGCCTAGCTTCTCAAGAGTCATAATTTTGCAACAGATGTACTTTGCTTTTGGTGCCTGTCTCTATCCTCTCTTTCAGGGACAATCGAGATTTTGCCAATGAGACGCAAGTAATTGTCTTTGCTGTTGCAGTTCACTCATTAAATAGAATGGACAAATATCGGATTCAATTACCTATTCGAAACTTTTTGATTGCGATTACTTGAGAAATCGAAACTAGGTAGCAATTTCGAATACTTCGAATTGAATATTCAAATATTTTTTATTATTGCTCTACTTTTTGATTTTTTTCACTTTATCAATCATAGTTAGCTTGCACCAGGCTCTTATTATTTGAACTTTTGAAAAAGTATTTCCACGCGATGGACTTTTTCGAACCATACTAGTGGTACTTGGACTCCAGGGCATGATGGTATATAGGATCTAGCCTTAAAATTTTGAACTATTGGCGGGGACGTAATAGATCATCGCAGTTTTGCCTTTTTGAATATTAATCAAATGATAATCGAATAATTTCACCAACATTCGATTGTGATGCAATTATCTTGGTGCCGATAGCTTGAATATCGAATATTCGATAATTGAAATATTTGACCATCCCTCTCATTGAATTCATACAATGACCACCAAAGAAAACAAGAAATCAGGAAAAGTTAATCTTTGTCGAGTCAATTAGTTTTGTGATCGATTTTAAAGAGCTCTTTAAAGTCACACACTTTGAAGTTACATTTAAAAATAAAGAAGCTGACGAGCAGTCAAACTTCCACCACAGTTAATGCCTGTCTAAGCTAAGCACCTCTACAGAGAGACTTGGAAGGATTACTTATGGGTATGGACACACAACTTTAAACAGTTAGATAGAGTCATTCAGTTACCTTTAAATAAATCAAAAGAATGGCCGATATATTATACAGTGATGCATATAGTGATGTGACTAATTTACCTTGACAATTAGAAGATCCTTGACACGGAGGTCAGTGACATTTTTATTCTTATAAAATTCTTCCCTTAGTTTCTCCCGGCACTGTTTCAAATTTACTGGAAGATCTTGAATGCGAACTGAAATCAAGAGAAAATAAAAACTCATAGAAAATTCAAGAACTCTCGCTTATCAATAGTTTACCTAGAAGAAATTAGTTGCTCCTTGGCAACCAAATAATGAGGCAGCTATCACTGCGCACCAAAGTCTAGAAGATGCTCCTGAGGTAAGGCCCTCTGAAGTGTTTGCTAGTATTGATATGAAAGTGGTAGGAAGAGCATTAGATGCTTTAGAGGTATGGCCCTCTAAAGGTTCATCAGTATTGATAAAAAAAGTGGTAGGAAGAGCACTATTATAACTTGACGAATTTTGTTATAAATTGGACCGAAATACATGGAAAGAACTGAGGCATCACAAGACATCAACATTTCCCACCAAACATAGCCAAGAGACCAATAATTTCAGCGGTAAACCCAATAGAGGAGGAATTAGTGTTTACAGCTGACTTTATAATAGAAAATTCATACTCCCTGCTTTCAAACGTCATCTTTCAGACTAATAGTGACTTACACTCCCAGCAAAAAAAGCAATGAGAGGAAAGTCACATCGGCCATTGTAATCAAATTCAAACTTAGGAAAATTATCATGGTCTGATTTCACAAAACATTCTCTCACATTGATACTCAGAATCATACAATTCATAAGAGCATGCTCAGCACAGAGGAAACCAATGAAAAAGTACTTTGACAGGTATTTTAGGGGTACAGAAAGTTCTTAGCCTTCCCTAATTTGTAATTTTCCTTCCTCAAAATTTGATGTTTTGCTTTAATTATGCCTCTACATAAAACAACCTGCTTGATAAGTTTCCTTCCTCATAGGCAGCGCACTTGTAAGGCATCTAAAGCACAGATCAATATGCTTCTCAGTTTTTCTCCCAAAATTGATCAAAATGGGAAGGAAAAAAACAAGCCTTCCTCGATTCTCACGCAAGCAGCGGCGCAATCATGGTCTTATGATCAAGAATATCTTGTGGCCCTGTATGGCTTCACTTATGTGGAATGATTCCACTTTGGTCGCAGTTGGCAAGAGTAAATTAGGATACACAATATTTAAATTTGAGTTGGCAGTTTTTAACGGTCCTGACTTACTATGCAAGAAAAGTCGCTAGGAAATAAAGGCATTGTGTTGTTTTTGCTATTCCTGAAAAAGGTCCATCGTTCCACTTTTCAGAGCTATGTACACTCCCTCCTATACAATGTATAACTCATCCTAAGAACCTTGTGCTATCACTAAGAGCATTCGCATGTTTTTAGGAGTAAAACAACCTCTTTCCTACCACTATTAAAGATATGATAAAGGACCCCGTACACCTCTTATGGGAAGCTGCACCATGAAGAATTGCCTTCTGACTTATGTTTATCGATTCTCCACAAGATGCTGATCAAAAGTTATGATTGCGCCGACTTTCTACGATGCACCGTTTTTGCGAAAAACCTATGAGAAGATTCAATTATTCGGAAACTATGAATAAAAAAAAACAAAACATTTGAGAACAGGCCCGATGTAAATAAGGAAAAAACGTAGTGCATGTCCGTCTTCTTATCTGTACCTGCCGACTCAGGGGCTATCTCCCTCCCGCACTCGCCCGGTAGACGTTCAGACTTTCCTGTTCTTATGCTCCTCAAGAATCTGATTTGGATGGTGGTCGAGCAAAACGGCGTGCGGAATCCGAGATAAGACTGCCGCTCGGTGCAGGAGTCCCCATGATTTCCTTGTTGACACACAGCCGCTTGTCAATCGAGCACTGAAATGAGAAATCTTTCTGGCTTTTTATCACCGAATAATTGAATCTTCTCATAGGTTTATAGCGAAAACTGTGCATCGTAGAGGGTTGGCGCAATTATAACTTTTGATCAGCATCTTGAGGAGAATCGATAAACATAAGTCAGTAGGCAATTCTTCATGGTGCAGCTTCCCATAAGAGGTGTAAGGAGTCCTTTTTTACCCCAAGACCTCGAGAATTTTGAACTTGATCTCTAGTGGTACACCTTTTCCTTTGTGCTTGCAAGACTTATTTCGTGAAGAGTCAAAACGTACCATTACTGAGGAACAATCTGCAGAAACATTTTTGAATGATAGAAGTTTCATCCACTAATAATTATTGCAGTCAAAAGTGGGCAACTTACGTATTTCAGGGAAAGCTCGATACCAAGCTTTGTACAGCTGTAGCGCTCTTGTTCGGCAATCTCGATCTGTGACGGATATCAGGGGTTTGGCTTGTTTCCAGCCAGCTTTAACTGCTGCTTGTCTAGAGCCCATGTTAAAATTAATGAATAAATACACTCGATCAATTTAAGTGACCTGAAATTTGGTTGATAAAACTGACATAACCTCACTAACCTTTGTTGCTTTGTTGTGACCAAGTACCAGAGAGTATAGAAGGTTAGAGGCCCGACTTATCCGTGAGCAGTTACTAGTGCTGCGATCTCGCGTAGAATCCTCGCAACTTACTGCTGCTATCAGTTGTTAGACTTCACAAGTCCACGAAAATCTGTAGGATCACGTGTATACAGGGTGTCCCAGGATTAGGTACGAATATTGAAGGAGTCGATTCTTTGGGTGAAAAAAGACGTTTTCGTAGTGCAACTTTCTTTCCAAAAACGCTTTCCCTGGGGGTCACGCCTAGGGCCACCTAGAGTACCTGTAAAGGGAGAGTAGCGACAGATCGGTTCATGGAGGGCTTAGGGCCCAAAAGTGCAGCCACCCTTCTGAGCAACTTCTAACACACAAAATTTCACTGCCAGCCTACAGATTTCAATTCTAACCAAGATGGCTAAAAATGTACATAAAAGAGCGTTCTTTCGCAAAAATAAGTAAATTTATGCAAAAAGTAAACCAAATACATGCTTTCTAAACGACGGTTCGTAACAATTGTATTTGTAAATCGCTCTGGACATTCGAAATTCATAGGTTGGCTGCCCTTTTGGGCCCTAACTTTATTC